GCGCGCCCCGTTTTTTTGCCTGATACCGTTGGAGCCATCGACCGATCGCCCGGACCAGCTCGCTTGCCCATCGCATCGGCCCTGCGGCCTCGCGAGCGCTGCGCATCGCGCCGGTCCTGTCCGATAGCGACGCAGGCTGGCGACCGGCATCATGCCGAACGCCAGCCTGCGTTCCTCGACCCGGCTCGACCGACTTCAGGCTGACGCCTTCAGTCGCTTCTCGACTTCCTCGACGCCCAGCGTCTTCACCGACTTCATCAGGCCGTCGAGCCGATCGAGCGGAAGCTTCAGCAAACCCGCCTTCTCGACCCGTTCGATCGCAGCCTCCCGCACCCGTCCCTGATGCGCCTTGCGACGCTCGGACAGCTTGCGCTCCTCGGCCTCGATCGCGGCCAGTTCGGCATCCAGTGATTTCGCCATTTCCTTTATCCTTCATGTTCGGCTGATCGGGCTCTGAACCCTCCCATTCTAGCCGCCACGGACCATAACGCAACGCCGCAACTTCAACTCTGTCGGAGACCCTGAAATGACCCCTGCCAGTGCCATGAAACCCCGCGTGCGAAGCACGCAATCATCCACCCCGTTCCGCCTCCCGGCGGCCACGATCCTCGCGCAAAACGGGAACCTTCCCGGGATCGACCGAGGCAGGAACCAGAGCCAGTACAGCACGGAGGATATGGGACTACAGTAGTGCACACCGTACGCACGGTGTGCCGGACGTTTATGCAATAGAAACAGTAGCATAAGCCGTATTTGAGGGCGAACTCTCTGGGACCGGCTAGAAAGTCTCCTGGGACCGCTTGGGGGACACGTTGGGACCGCTAGTAATTACCGAGCAAATACAGGTGTATAGCAGGGACCTACCGGGACCGTTCCATATAGAGGCGTCGATTACATCTTGAACACGCGTCGAGCCTGGTGTAGCAGGATGACGGCGATTTTAGACCCCACCAGCCTCTCTGCAAGGAGGCTTGGTTGAGTATCTCCCATCAAAGAACGATGCGCTTCGACGCGCGACAATATGGTCGCGTTGCCGAGCTTGCATCTAATCAGGGTCGCTCGGTCGCGGATGTCGTTCGGGCGGCGATAGATCAGTACCTCCTCGGCCAAAGCCTGCTAACCGACAGCCAGCTTCGGCTGATCCGCGTCGGCGAGTATTCGCAGCTCGCGCTCGACACGATCATCACCGAGCAGTTCCCGGATTTCCGCGACCGCATCATCACCTCCACCGACAACCGGATGCGGCGGTTCCATGGCCAGGGCTGACATCCGCAACGATGGCCGTCCGGTCCATCTGGCGCACGCCTCCGCGCGTGGCGTACGGCCTCGCAACTCGGGCAATTTCACCCGCGGCTCGCAGCTGCTCGATGCCTCCGTCCGGATGTGGCTGCAGGGCGCGAAGATGCCCATCCTCATCTGGCTCGGGACCTTCCTGATCGCCTACACGATCATCCTCTCGGTCCGCCTCAACGAGAACAACTTTCAGCTGATCTCGATGCGAATCCTGTCCTCGCTCTGGGACTGGGTGGCGCTCGACAATCTCAAGAAGGTGAACCTCCGGATGCCCGACAATTCGGTGCATTCGACCGTCATGGGCTACGTGCCCTATGT